AGTAAGTAGGATAATAGAACATTTCACTGTTCGCCTCCACGACTGTGTTGCCTAGGTCGATCCCAGAACGTAAACTGTTCTCCTTGAAGAAAGGCATGTGATGAACCTGCTGTCCGTTATCACTGGACATACGGCCCGGGGCCAGAGATGAACGTTGGAGACATCGAGGACGAGGTCCTATACGACTGAAGACGAGACACCTCTTTCCATGACGTAGGCACATACTGGGAGAAGCGAGCCACAGAAAGCACAGCGAATTCGAGAAGGCTCAAATAAGGGATGTAATGAAGCAATGCTTCATCAAATCTGAGGACAAGGCAAAAGATGATCTGGATGGTAGTGAATAGTATTACTAAATGAGGAAGGAGAACTGGCATGGTGGATACACATTGAGCAAGCAGTCAAAGTTTACTTGATCAAAATCTGGCTGCCCCTACAATTCTATCGAGATTCCATTTTCACTTCAGAGCGACTGTTCGTTAACTTACTGTAGAAAATACCCAAAGTGTGTCACTGTCACTTTTATCTATGATTGCTTGGCAAATTACAATCAATTCAATGAAAATTGTTTTCGGCAATACATGTACAAGTACTGGATGATCAGCTACGAAAAAAGCAGCGTGGAAAAGTGGTCTCAAAAGCTCAATAGATATTATGCATACTTGGAAAAAATAAAACTTTTGAAAGGAAAGGTAAAGTCTCTTTACTCTTTGCTCAAGGGCAGGCTCTCGGAAAGACAAAGGATTGGTACTCTTCTGGGACCTGATTCGCAAAGGGCCATAACGGACATGGACAAAGCGGAGCTGCTGGCTGGTACCTTTGGAGCTGTTTTCTCGAGAACTCATGATTCAGTTCCAATGGTTGCTAGTCCTGGAATTAAAGCTTGTGATTCGGTCCCTTGGTTTGACGCGGGCATTATATCGAATATCCTTTGTGAATGGACGTCTGCTGCAACTGTTAATAGTGAGAAGATACCTTTTATCGTTGTAAAGAACTGTATCTATGAAATAAGTGGCCCTCTTGCATTTTTGTTCAATCTTAGTCGTATGCGAGGCGAGGTTCCCAGCAAGTGGAAACACTCCATAGTCTTGGGACTTCCGAAGAAAGAGTCTGGCTCTAGTCCAAACAATTACACGCCAATTAGCTTGACATCCATCTTTGCAAGGACATTTGAAAAGGTTATAAAACGATACTTGCTTCAACACATGGAGAAGCACGGCATCATCCCTTCTACACATCATGGTTTTTGTGCAGGGAGGTCAACCGAAACAGCTTTATTATGCTGTATGAATGAATGGTCAAAGGCAATTATTCAAAAAAAATGTCGACGTAATTTTCTTCGATTTCAGTAAAGCCTTTGATAAACTGTCGCACAGGGTTTTAATACATAAGTTGCACCATTTAGGCTTTCACCCAC